GAACGAAACCGCTCAGGGGTCTATTTAGTCGTTCTGCGGTCTTGACGTCTGAACCCGGGAAAGGTTCACAACATACAGTACGAGCAATCATGATACAACACCGCATGGTGACCCTATCGATATTACTCGGCACAACTTCCAAATCTGAAGCGTCGTATTAAACCAAAACGCTAGAAAAGCAAGAACCAGACAGGGGCGAATGCGACGCAGCTCCAAACGAGACAGTATCAAAAACGCATCGACTTGAATTTCTTTTTCTTCGCTGTCTCTTGTTCTCCATAATCGAAAAAAGAACTCTTTGGTGTAGAATAGGAGCATCCGTTCGGGGATTCACTAGAACCGGTTGAAAGTTTCTAACTCGAACYACAACGGAGATACACAATAACCATCACGCAGGACACCTCGATTCTTGCAATTTGAGTTARACAAACCTACCATCAATTGGTTATAGTTTCGATCCAAAAACAGATCACGCGGCTAGCATCATGGCGTCGTCGTCGTCGCCTTCCTCTTCATCTCACTTGACGAGAGAACAGCAGGGACTCTTGAATTTTGAAGAGGTTGTCGCCTTGTGGTATTTCATCCTCATGCTTTGGTACGGATATTACCGGTGTCGGAATTGGAAAGTAACGACGAGTCAGTTCTCGAATAGCATCGACTCCACCAACACAAATTTAGAACAATACGGCTTSTCTCCCATTCATTGGTTAATAGCGTCGATTGCCGCTATGGGACTCGCCAACTTCTTGTTTTCTGTATCGGTCTTGGAGGCATTGGATCATACGTCAGCCATTGGAAGCAAGGTTTTGAAACTTTCTTACATCAGTAAGTCTATGTASGAATCACTTTTCAAAAGGGAACAAGCATGGCATCAAAGTTTCGCATTTTTTTGGTTCCCTACCAAATTATTGCGTGCTGTGTTGTATTAATGATTTATCCTTCTAACGCATTCGCAAATTCGGGTCCACTTAGACATGTTTTTTGCCTGCCTTCGACATCCCTGTACTCTGAGTTTGGGCGTCTTGGCTCCCAAGGTGGCATTTGGTTCCGATCGTTACTTCTATTTTCCTTCCGAATCCGCTGTTAGAACAGATAACATAAAAACCACCGCCATGTGTTTGGCGGCTCTTGTTTTCGCCCAGGTTGTCCTTCGCATGACAGAAAACGTCATCACGATTTTTCGTCACGGCAACCGGGATTCCGCAGCCGTCAAACTAGCAGATTTATTTTGTTTCGTCTTTGATGGCATCTTCCTCTCGTGGATGGTCAATGTGCTCTATACGATTACCATGGAAATCAGCCGCGATGAWTACACCGACCGCAGGGGGTTCTTTGGTTCGAATCGATGGCAGGCATGGTGGAAATCACGGAGTCTTTTTTTCTTTTGGATCTTGTACACGGTCTTCGTGACCCTCTCGACCGCACTCATCCTGATCGGTTTGTTGGCGTTTACTATGGGTGCGGTAGATATGACCGACGAACATTTTGTGTTTGATTACATCAAGGCGARTGCTATCAACGATCTATTGCTGCTGACTGGAATTGSCATMATTTTAAGACCCAAACTAGTCGGGCAGTCACCAARTCCATTTAGCACGAACAGTATTGGCGCTGATGAAACAGAGCGAGTCGCCGACGTTGATTATTCCCTCCTGCTCACAGAAAGCAGCGAGGACGACGAAGGGCAATCCGGTGGTGGTGAAACTCGTGAAGAACAAGGAGAAAGAAGCTTTGAAATGACCACGACCGCCGTCAGCTCGGGATTGGATTCTACGGCAATGAATGCGGCGCCATGAACCTGTGGATGAGACAAGCGTGTTTGACATCTGGTAGACCTATCTAGAGGTCCGAAAAACCAACCTTACTATCGACACTATTCCCTTTTGCCCTTGAACCATTTAGGACAGAACGTCGCAGTTGTCCTGGTACCACTGAAATATATTTTCAAGGAGCACCAGTTCCAACGCTTCGGCCCAAGGAAGCACAACTCATCACTCCACATCAGATTCCTCGCCATAAATGAAGTTCTCGAAAATTGATGTGGGACCAGGCGTTGCGACATTGTGCATATTACATTCTTCGACAGAGTTTCCTCAGATGAAACGACGCAATGCTCTGCATTACGGCCTCTGGCGAAATCGTCAGTGATTAACGGAGKAGAAATTTCTGATTCAAATCCCTGTTGCCCTTTGCCACAAAATTAACTTTCTTGCTACATGATTTCAAGAGAGTGCATWTGACATGTTAAATAAAGACCGACCTCAATTCATCATTTTACGATAATGAGAGTGACAAATTTAAAAAAATATATTTTATGGGCACGAGGGACCTCCAATTATACTGCCTACGTATCTTTTCACTTAATAACCACGCAACATTCGATTTCCAAGTGGGTTCTCTGGCGCAGGCTCGTTGCCAAACAACGAGCCTCCCCTTCTCTTCACAATAGCATAAACAACAACTCCACAAAGCAATAGGCAATTGACGACGGCAAAACACTGTATGAATTTATCGCCCGACATTCTCTTCCCGAATTCCTTGACCAATTTTTCAGCCCTCGCCAAGTTATCACCCATTCGATCCGCTTCCTTATCAATATTCGCAATAACTTCTCGTTGACGTTGCAACTCTTCCAACGTCGCCACGCCGACTTCTTTGGATTGGGCAATCATGTTCTTTGTATTACTAAGCGCATCCTGTGTCTTGTCTTGAAGTGCGCTCGCCTCGTTGAGCATGTTGCTCCCGGCCCTGGTCGGATCCCCGCCGTTGCCGTCCGGGTCGCCAGCGCCACCCGAGATAAAGAGTTCGCCTCGGTGTTCCTCTGCTTGTAGGGCTTTTAGGTCGGCCTTGAGTGTTCTCAGCTCGTTTTCCAACCGTTTGAGACGCTTCGTATACTTGTTGCGCAAATTCTGGTCTTGGACCAATCGAATTTCCATTTTGAAGGAACGCTTTGTCCCGGTAGCGCTTCGAAGCGTATCGTCGGCATCTTCTAGCGCCGTAGCACGGTCCACGGGATCYGACATCGCCTGCACCCCATCGAGAATACTTCGGATTTGTTCAACCCCCTCCACGAGGGTATCTTCCCAGTATTGAATATCAGCCTATTGTGCAACCGCCACAAATGTCGTTGACGCATTCGCAGAGAGTGATCGGGAAGGCACGATTCAAATCGAATACCCGATTGTGCCGCAAAGAGAGAAAATGAACAGGATATACAGCACGGCATCCATGAAAATCAATTCCACGAGAGGCGAGGTCATCCACAATAGTACAAACCACGTGGTGTTAGAAAAACATAGGCATTGAATGTTGGTTTAATTACGCGAAAAAGAATGTTTCGCATCGAGACGTTGTAAGGGCAGTATCAACATGAATATACCGATGCGCTCCTTACCATATTTATACGTCTTGTAGTTTCCTGAGCACTCAACAAGTCGTCAATTTGAAATAAGTGGCGCTATCGAAGTTGTTCTCTTTATATTCACAGTGGCAATTGGAACCGAATGTTGGAATTTCTTTCCAGCTGTTAGGTAATTGTTAGGATTATCGCGATGGTGATGGCAATCCTTTTTTCTCCGTGGCTCTGTTGGGTTTCGGATTGTTTTAGWCTGTCAACGGTAGATACCGGTAGGCTTGTCTTGGTTTTGATGCTACGGTACGAGTAAACTACCAAATCTGCTGTGTATTGTGTCGTGCCGATCTATTTTTTCTTCGCAGCACGTCTTTTTTCTAACTGAAGCATTTGCCATTAGGGTTAAAAATTAAGAGGTCATAATTTCACTTTCGGTTTTATGACCTCGGTTCGGTTCGTAAAGTACTTCGTACAGTACATTGTTAGTCCGCAAAATGTGTACCGGTACTTGTACTGGTAGTACAGTATTGTACTCTCTGCAGAAGCGGTATTTATGATCGATGCGTACGTACGTACAAAAAACATTTAGGTATGACCGTAACCGTACGGTACCAAGTACCTGTCGTCGACCCTTCAAAATGAAAAAACATTACAGTAATTTATGTTTTATTGAGAAGGATTATTGAAAGAAAACTGCCATATTACTGCACTATTTAATGGTGGTAGTTMGCATGGTATTGTATGAGAGAATTAAWAAGATTTACGCTACTTTTTTMATCTCTTCCTCGTCCTCGTAAGCTTCCAATGGTGGGCAAGTGCAAACAAGGTTTCGGTCACCATATACATTGTCAACTCTTCCRCACGTTGGCCAAAATTTGTTGGACTTGATCCAAGGCGCAGGGTAGCAGGCTGCTTCYCTCGTATATGGACGATCCCATTTATCGGACATCAAGTCGTCCAAAGTGTGGGGAGCATTGTGGAGAGGAGAATCTTCGTAAGCAATTCGTCCGCTGCCAATATCATCGATCTCCTTTCGGATAGAAAGCATGGCGTCACAGAAGCGATCGAGTTCTTGCAAATCTTCGGATTCTGTGGGTTCTACCATGAGCGTTCCAGCGACAGGCCAAGACATTGTCGGTGAATGAAATCCGTAGTCTTGAAGACGCTTAGCGACATCTTCCTCCGTTACTCCGGTGGATGACTTCAGCGGTCGAAGGTCCAGAATGAATTCGTGAGCACACTGCCCATTCTTTCCTACGAACAATACATCATATGCTCCATTCAAACGGGCAGCCATGTAATTGGCATTTAAGATAGCTTGACCGGTAGCCAGTTTCAGTCCTGGTTCCCCAAGCATCTTAATGTACATCCATGAAATCGGAAGGATGGCGGCAGATCCGAAGGGAGCTCCTGCAATTGCACCAGTCTCTTTTGGAACACACAATTCATTTCCACAGAGTTTTCCGGAAGCCTCGGGTCCTGAGACATGCCCAGGCAAAAATGGAGCGAGATGGGCAGCAACTCCGATTGAACCAACACCTGTGTCATATGGTTGTCGCAGAAAGCAATCATAACATCGTGAGCCTTAGCTAACTAAAGAGAAAATACGTAAGGACAYGAAAAGATAAATGAATTCGTACCTGGTCCACCTCCTCCGTGAGGTATGCAGAAAGTCTTGTGAAGGTTCAAGTGACACACATCGGCGCCAATCAGACCGGGACTCGTAAGACCCACTTGCGCGTTCATGTTAGCACCGTCCATGTAGACTTGTCCACCAGCTTCGTGAATGGAGCCGATGATTTCCTTGATACCCTCCTCGAAAACACCGAATGTAGATGGATACGTTACCATAAATGCGGCGAGATTGTCTCGATGCTTCTCGATCTTTGCGGTCAGATCTTCCATGTCGATATTCCCCTTGTCGTCATTGTTTACTACCACAACCTTCATCCCTGCCATGACAGCACTGGCGGGGTTTGTTCCGTGAGCACTTTTCGGGATTAAGCAAATGTCACGATGTCCTTCACCCTTGGATTCAAGGTAGTCTTTGATAGCCAAAAGGCCAGCGTACTCTCCCGTGGCTCCAGAATTCGGTTGAGCGCTGACAGCGGCAAATCCCGTAATTTCTGCAAGATCTGTGTTGAGATCTTCGATAAGTTCATGATAGCCCTCAACTTGGTCGTGGGGAGCAAATGGGTGGATATTGCAGAATTCAGGCCAGGTTACCGGAATCATTTCACTAGTTGCGTTCAGTTTCATCGTACAAGAACCCAATGAAATCATCGAATGGTTCAACGACAARTCCTTATTCTCAAGAGATTTCAAATAACGGAGCATTTGGGTTTCTGATCGGTGTTGGTGGAAGATGGGATGGGTCAAGATTTCTCCGTCGCGAGCGTACTTTGAAGGAATCGATGTTAATGAGTCATCTTCGGCTGTAACATCGGGTGCATCCAAACGGAATGCGTGACACAATAGAGCATAAAGATCGTCACGAGTGACCCCCTCACCCATCGAGATACCAACGGTGTTTTCGTCGATGATTCGGACGTTTGCTCCGGCTTCGACAGCTCCGGCTTGCACTTCAGCGGCCGTCAATCCCTTCGAGGAAACATCCACCGCGATTGTGTCGAAAAATTCTCCAGCTTCGTTATGGGCGAGCTTGAAGCCGTCTGCAATCAATTCCCTCGCAGCCACCCGGGCCAAAGCGTGAACCCGTCCTCCGATTTCAGCCAATCCTTCCGGTCCGTGATAAATTGCGTATGCGGCAGCCATGTTGGCCAGTAGTGCTTGCGCTGTGCAGATGTTCGACGTAGCCTTGTCCCGACGAATGTGCTGTTCTCGTGTTTGCATGGCCATTCGCAGACATGGTTTGCCGGACGAATCTACCGTAACACCAATAATACGACCTGGCATTTTTCGTGAGTACTTATCGGACGTCGACAAGAATCCCGCATGGGGACCACCGAAACCCATTGGAACACCAAATCTCTGAGCTGATCCTACAGCAATGTCTGCCCCCCACGACGAAGGAGGAGCCAACTTCGTTAGTGCCAAAAGATCGGTCGCCGCTATAACCATTGCGTCCGCCTCGTGAGCGCGAGCTGTGAACGACTTGTAAGATTCTCCATCGGATTCAAGGGCACCGTACGTATTTGGATATTGTACAATCGCTCCGCAGAAATCTTTAYCTGAGAAATCGACATCCGAATGATTGCCTTTCACAACCTCGATTCCAATTGCTGATGCACGAGTTTCGATCAAGCCAATTGTTTGTGGATGAACGTCGTTTGATATGAAAAATTTGTTTTTCTTTTTCTTCCCTCGTCCTCCCTTCAGGGCGAAACACATTTGCATTGCTTCTGCTGCGGCACTGGATTCGTCCAACAAAGAGGCTACGGCCATAGGTAGTCCCGTCAAGTCTACGACAAGTGTTTGGAAATTCAAAAGCATTTCTAGACGCCCCTGTGATATTTCAGCCTGATAAGGGGTGTATGCAGTGTACCAGCCGGGATTTTCTAGCACGTTTCTCAATATCACAGCTGGGACCTGAGTGTCGTAATATCCCTGCCCAATGTAGGATTTCATAACTTTGTTACGATCAGCGAACTTTCTAATTTGATTGAGTGCCTCTGATTCCGACATGGGATCCTCCAATACCAAGGGTTTGTCGGTCATAATATCTGCTGGGACGGTTGATTTTACGAGCTCGTCGAACGATTCGAAGCCGATAGTCTGTAACATGGAAATCGACTCTTCGAGCCTAGGACCCACTGATTTCATGTTGCATGGGTAAATTTGTCAAGCAAAGGAACACATCATACGTATTTTTTGAATACACAATTGGTTCCCATTGAGAGGAGGTAATGTCGTCAACGATTCAAAGTGATATGAGTTGTCGGTTATGATCGTGCAGAAAGTTAGAAGAAAAGATACTAAGAGAAAAATGAACAACTCGATGCGACCAACAAATTAAAGGAAGCGAAGGGGAGTCTAAGGTTGTGGTTTTGAAATGCCAAAATGCCAATTCACCTTTATGGCAGATAGATCATTAAAATGCCAACATCAATGGTCACAGCAAGAGTCCCTCAGCACTTACTGTGTCGGCGAGCAAACGAATCCGTCATGTCCAATGCGTCAGAAGACGAGGCACAAGCGGATCCAGCATGGAAGGGCCGAAGGGTTCCCACATCTGTTCCAACCGCTGTGAACGCCCCTCGATTGATTCGGCCGACGGAGAGCGAAGGCGACGGGCATKCCAAGAGCCGTCGTCGGATCGCTTGGAGGGACGACGACGATGACGCTAACAGTCTCCTATTCATCATGAAGAAGATTTCGTTTCGGTTCCCTTATTTTCAATGTGATGTTCCCAAGTGACCAGAGCACCAGTTGTAAAGTCAGGAAGCAACAGGATGTTGTTTGGAWTTACGGCAGAAAAAAGGAGAACAGATGAAGATCCATGAACAACTCATGTCTCGTAGTGGACAGCACACAAATTGATGAGAAATCAGAACTTTTTATCTTGACCGCGCTAGCTAGAGCAGAACAGGTCACCGTGAGAACGTGCAGTACTTTTTGAACGAGATGCGCGATTGAAAATGCCAAAACTAGAGAGAAAAAATAAAAAATCTTGAGGGAATGAGTGAATCAGAATCATCATTCAATCGTGCGTTTCGAACACAATCTGATCTGTCCGTTCTTCCACAAACACACGAAATTGAATTTTAGAATTCTCGTGACTGAGTTACCTAGTCCCGGAATGGGAAGCTCAGACGTACGTACTGTACGCAATTCACACCCACACTTTCAGCATTYGAATTCTCATTGCTTCCCAAATCGATGAAAAGTCGACGCTTTTCAACGCTTTCGATTCGTAACATACTAGCACCATACGTACCGTACCACAGTCCTTGGTGGTCGCATTTGCCCATTGCCATTTCATCCATAGATCGAAAGAAAACTCAGGAAGTGTTTCCTAATACACCGAAGAAGGCACAAACAAGCGTAAAGATRAGTGCGTCTGCTCCTGCTACGGCATCTACCGAAAATGGTGATGTCCGCCCAGCGACAATGTTCGACATGGACAAGAGAGACAASTASGCGTGGGTGTACAGTTGGGCGGCGGCGATGGTGCCTTTCTCGGGGGTCCTGTATGCGCACAAAAGGGGTGTCACCGGAAAGATCGTGGAGCGTGTCGTGAAATCACCGGTTGGAGTATACGGGTTGTTCGCCTTGCCCTTTTTTTCGCTTGCRATGGAAAAATCCATTTACGATACGGTGCAAGCGTGGCAAGGGTTAGACCCAAATGTTGTACCGGCAGACCGGGGCGGATTTCCGTCGGGAGGTTCTAGCTTGCCGTCTCTGAGCTTGATT